AGGGATAATGACTAAATCTGTAATTTCATTAGTATAGAGAACTCCCAGATAAGAGGATTCCTGATATCAGTACAAGTCAGCATGTTCTCTGCAACTTATAGTCTTAAAGTTGCCTAGAATATTGAGAGATTAAGTGACTTGCCCAGACTTAGTCAGTATGTGTCAGAGACAGGACTTGAACTCAGATCTTTGTGGCAGGTTCTCCAACCACTATGCTGTGCTGCTTCTCTGGTGAAGGGTTCTTAGACTGAGGTCCATGGACCATTCCTTGATCTTTCTCCACCTAGGGGGTCTGTGGATAGATGTTAGAGGGTCTGTGTACTTTGACATGGGAAAAAATTGCATCCTTGTTTTCACTAGGAGGCAGCTAGATGGTTCAGTGGATAGAGCACTGGGCCTGGAGTCAGGAAGAACTAGGTCCAAATTTGGCCTCAGACACTTTATAGCTGTGTGACCCTTGGCAAGTCACTTAACCTCTCTTTGCCTTAATGTGCTGGAGAAGGAAATGGCAAACCACTCCAGCATCTTTGCCAGGAGAACTCCATGGTCCACAGGGTCATGAACAGTTGGACATGACTGAACAACAACAACAATTTTCACTAATCTTTGTTTTCCTTTATAATCAAATGTAAATTATTTTATGCACTTAAAAACATTCTGAGAAGGGATCTAGATACTTTACCAGACCGCCAAAGGAGACCATGACTCCAAAAACGTTAAGAACCCCTGATCTATGCAGATCTTGGTAGAAGTAGCAGATATTTTACACATAAACAATTGATTTAAAGAGACATTTTTAGATGACTTCTTGTGCCAGGCAATATATTAGACACTGAACACACAAAAACCAAAAATAAGATTATCCCAGGCCAGAAGAGCTTACATTCTTCTGGGGAAGTGTGTGTGCATTTGAAAGGGTTAAGAGTTGAGGCATAGGACCTGGGGCGGGGGTGGGGGGTTGTTGTACAGAATACAGCATGTACTCAGGTTAAGTCAATACAAGGAAATGTAATAAGTGAGAGGATGCTAACAATCAGTTAAATAAGAAAGGCTCCACATAAGAGGAGGCACCTACACAAAGCTTTGCAGGAAGCTAAGAATTCTAAGAGACTGAGATAAGATGGGAGACTGCCTCTGTAAAGATGTGGAGTCCAGAAATAGAATGTAAATTCCAAGATCAATCAATAAGCAAGCACTTATTAAGCACCTAGTACATGCCAGGGGATAAAAAGAAAAAAAGCAAAGCAATCTCTAAACCCAAGTGCCATAATTAGGGTTCAGATGAGGATTTTGTCTTATGTCATAAACTACAAAAATATCTGAGAAAGGATGGGATTCCTTATACCTACTCTTTCTGTTCTCTGTGGTGTACTCCTTTGACCCAGGCTATCAACCTCAGGGTTACAAGACTGTAGCGTCCCTTTCCTGGGGATCACCTCCCCTCTTCACTCCTTCCCCCTGGGAACTGGAATGTAGTAAACCACTGGTTGTACCACATAGATCTCAGCTGGGTTCTCTGAAGTATAGGTCACATTCTCTCTCACAATTGCATCTAAGGAATACTTTCCTCTCTGTTGCATTCCCCTAATCTTGCTCCATAATAAAAATGAATTTGCCCTAGGAATAAGAAGTCCCAGTTATGCCTCTACCCACCCAACTGTTTGAGTGCTCTTCCTTAAAGTTGAGTTGTTATAAGGAAATGCATTGGAAATATCAAATATTAGAAAGACACAGGTGTTAAATAATGGCCAAAGATTTCTTGGGTTTTTTGGATCTGAGGCAGGCAGGCAGGATCCTGATTGGGGCTTTCTAGTTCAATTTTTCTTACTCCAACACTCAAATTCACTCAAGCAAAAATGTTTATGATGATGGTTTTCAGCCTGGCTTTCAAGAACAAGTACACTCTGCCCTCCATAATGATTCTGGTGAGTACAGAATTCATATGTAAAACAGAATATGTTCCATTGTTTGGCCAACAGCCTCTTTAACTGACAGTCAGTCAAGCAGAAAATAGGCAAATTTAGTTACAGAAAACTAACAAAATTTAAGATAGAGACTTTTAAGGCTAAGAGTCTAAAACCAATCATTCAAAAAGAATACCAATATTTATGCAGAGAGAACATCTTATCATAAATAATGTAAGATGTAATACCAAAAATGGGAAAGACAGGAGTCCTTTTAAGGCTCTGTTATACCTAAAAGGGTAATTCAAGATCAAAGCTATTTAAAATGGGGAGTATAATTGAGATCAAGATTGAAAGTCCTCTTAAGTCTTCTACAACACTGATCTCTCCAGTGCTCTCCACTTACATCCCTCTAAACCTGACGACTGGATCTAACCAACCACAATGGATAAGCTTTGTTCTGCCCCAGATTCTGTCACCAATTCCAGCATCCCCAGGAATGGGGAAAACAGAGCTCTGGACAGTTCTAGACCACCTCAGTCTTACTGCTGGTATTGGTCCTATTTTTTACCCCATTTCCCAATAGGTGAGTTCTTGTCCTGTCCCCCCTAAACTCCCCAGTGATTACATTTCTACTCTGCCCCTTAATCCCACTAGTGTCAGTTCCCACACCCAATCCCCCACCCAACGCCACTGAACATAAATCACCCTGACACTGGGTACCTGACTCAGAATCCCATGAGGCTCTTTATGTGAAGAACAAGATTGAGGAACATGAGTGAATAAATAGAAACATATTAAATAGCCCAGGGGCATTCTGATCCTGAGTCTGCCTATAAGAACTAGAAGTCTGTCACATAGCCCAGAGGTATATGCTGATAATCTAAGTGACCCATAACATTTCCCTCAGGAAAAGAGCAGCTTATAGAAAGGAGCAATATTAGCCTAAAGAGACACAGCAATGAACAACTGTTGTCATTCAGTCGTTTTCAATCATGTCCAACACTTTGTGACCCCTTTGGGGGGTTTTTTGGCAAAGATACTGGAGTGGTTTGCCATTTCCTTCTCCAGCTCATTTTTCAGATGAGGAAACTGGGGCAAATAGGGTTGTGGCTTGTCTAGGGCCACACAGCTAGTAGGTATCTGAGGCCAGATTTGAACACAGGAGTATTCCTGACTCCAGGTCTGGCACTCTATCCACTGTACCACCTGGCACCCTCTCCACTGTGCCACCTAGCACCCTAATGAACAGCTAATGACAATCATTTGTGGTAGAAGTGCCAAATAGTATCTCATCAGGTTAAAATCTTGCCTCTGGCCCTTACCAGATGTGACTATGGACAAGTAACAGTTTTTCATCTGTAAAAAGAAGGGGATAGACTCAGCTCTAGGGTTACTTCTATTTTTAAGCGTAGAATTCTTAAACTGAAATCCATGAACTTATTTGTTTTTGTTTTATATTTGATAACTGTATTTAAATGTGAGTGTTTTCCAACCCTGAGATACCACCTCACACCTATCAGATTGGTTAATATGACAAAAAAGGAAAATGATAAATGTTGGAGAAGATGTGGGAAAATTGGAACATTAATGTATTATTGGTGGAGTTGCAAACTGATCCAACCATTCTGGAAAGCAATTTGGAACTATGCCAAAAGATCTACAAAACTGTGCATTCCCTTTGATCCAGCAATAGCACTACTAGGTCTATATCCCAAAGAGATCATAAACCAGGGAAAAGGACCCACATATACAAAAATATTTATAGCAGCTCTTTTTTGTGGTGGCAAAGAATTGAAAATTGAGGGGATGCCCATCAATCGGGGAATGGCTAAACAAACTGTGACATATGAATGTAATGGAATACTATTGTGCTTTAAGAAATGATTAGTAGCAAAATAAGGGAAGAAATCTTAACAATTAGAGCTACAAAAAGTGAAATGGGCTGCCTCAGGAGACGGTGAATTTTCCTACAGTACAGGTCATTTAGCAGAGACTAGACAGCCAGTTCAGAGAAGCTGTTAACAGAATCACTGTTTCAGGCATGGCAGCATGGTGGAAAGCGAGTCGAATTTAGAATCAGAGGTTCTGGCTTCAAATCCTAGCTTTGTCATTTGCTGCAGGTTCTGACAATTCATTTACCATCTCTGGGGACTAAATATAGTCAACTGTAAAATGATGGGGCTGGACAAGCCATTTTTTGAAATACTTTCCAATTCTGAACTTTTATGGGTTTGGGTTGTCAGGTGAGGTACGTAAGGGTATGAGTATATGTGTTGTATTGATTGTAACTATGTGAGAAAATTGGAGCTTTTGTGTCAGAGGGCATTTCTGGATACTGATATATTTCATGAAAGGGTGGAAAGGGAGGGGGGAGAGAAGGTATTGGATGAGTGAGGCTCTTTTAAAGAAGTCATAAACTTGGTGTGAGAGATTAAAAAAACTGTGTTCTTAATAAAAAACAATTTACAACATAAAAAAAAAAGAAATGATGAGCAGGCAGATTTCAGAAACACCTGAAAAGACTTACATGAACTGATGCTGAGTGAAGTGAGCAGAACCAGGAGAACACCGTACACAGTAACAGCAACATTGTGTAACAGCCAACTTTAATAGACTTGTCTCTTCTCAGCAATATGATGATCAGAGACAATTCTAAAGGACTCATGATGGAAAATGCTATCCACATCCAGAGAAAGAACTATGGAGTCTGAATGCAGATCGAAGCATACTACTTTTTCTCTTTTTTTTTTCTTTCTTGTGGTTTTTCCCTTTTGCACTGATTTTTCTTTCACAATATGATTAATGTAGAAATATGTTTAATATGATTGCACATGTATAGCCTAAATCAGATTGTATACTGTCTTGCAGAGGGGGAGGGCAGGGGGGGAATTTGGAACTCAAAATCTTATAAAAATAAATGTTGAAAACTAAAAATAAATAAGTTGACTAAAAAATAAAAATAATAAAAATAAATGTGACTTTTATAATCCTATGTGTTTGATGCATTTAAAAACATTATTCTGAGAAGGGGTCCATGGACCTCACCAGACTGCCAAAGAAGGTCCATGACACAGAAACATGTTATTTAGTTGTATTTATTTAGTCCTATGATCCTATGATTTCCTTATTCCCATGAGCGGCTTAGAGCGGATAACAGCAATAGAAGCAGCAGCTATGATGTACTATAATAATTTCCACTTTATCCTTTTTTCTTCATCTCTTGAAGATGTGACTTAGGTTCATCTTCCTGGTGGTAGTCATCTTCTCCAAGAAGTTGTTTCAGAGGTCATCTACTACTGGTCAATCAGCACTCAAACCCAGGAGCTCCCAGCCCCTCCAACTTGGAAGGTTGCTGCCAAGATTAGAAATATTCATCTCAGGATTTCTATCTGGTCCTCTATACCCAGGGAAAGAAACACAAAGCAGAAAGACATCAGCCTCAGGCTCACCTAGATGAACACATGGGAAAGGAAGTACATGGGAACCAAGCATGAGATTGATTTATTAACGCCCTTTATCAAGGGGCCCCAACATATGTCGCATAGGAAAAATCCAAAGTACAGGCTCCACACTGCACATGCTCCATAGAATGGTTCCCCATGGGTCCTTCCACAAGCAAATGCTCTAAAGTGGGCTCCAATCCAATCCCCTACTAAAAAATAAAGAAAAAAAAATTAAAGGGAGGAAAACTTTGAAAGTGGAGGATTAAATCAGGACATTTCCTCTTATAAGGTACCTCTTATAAGTCATATGCACTCATAGATTCAAATACTTAGTATGTTGGGATTATATAGTTTATTGTACATAGAACAATGTTGTACATCCCAAGTGTAAGTAGATGAATCTGATTAGTGAGATAAGTAAGAAATGGCCACCCCTTAAGTTCTATGCACTAAAGTTCCTAGGATATCCCTGGAAGGATGGGAAGAAGGGACATTCAAACCAAAGGTAGAAGATCCCCCCCCAAGTGAATCAAACCCTCTGAATCAGTGATCACCTCGAATAGATAATCTCCTTTATATTTGTGAAAAATGCACTATTCCATTTTTTCTAATTTTCTTATGGCTCATTTTTTAATGTTTAAATTGTTTATCCTTTTGAAATGTTCATGGGGTGAGATATAACTCTAAATCTGTTTTTATCACATTTGAATGCATCTCTTATTTTGTTTATAGGTGATTTATGGGGACAAAATGGAGGGAATCACAGATGTAAACATGACATCAAAGATCTTTCCATTCTCTCTCTAAATCAAGTTAGTCCCTGAATAATTTGCTTATGTATAAAACTTAAATTGATAATCCTTGATATTTTTATATTCCCAGAGTGTAGCACAGTGCTTGGCACATAGTAAGTGTTTAATAAATGCTTGTTTAAGTAATAGCAATTTTGTAACCACAATCAACTGTGAAAGACTTAGCTACTTTGATCAGTGCAATGGTCCATGACAATTCCAAAGGACTCATGATGAAAAATGCTAGCCACCTCCAGAGAGGCAACTGATGAATTTTGAATGCAGATTGAAGCATATTTTTTCACTTCCCTTTTCTTGTTTATGTGGCTATTAGTATTTGTATTAATATTTATATTATTAATATTAATTATTATATTAATATTAATTATTAACAATGTTAATACTATCATTCCATTATGGCTAATATGGAAATGTGTTTTTCATGAATTCCTACATATAGCTGATATCATATTTCTTGCCTTCTCAATGGAGGGTTGGGAGAAGGAGAGAGAGAATTTGTAACTGAAAATAATTTTTTTAAATTAAAAAATTCAAAATTAACAAAACAAAATTTAAAAATCAACAAAAAAATGCTTGTTTGCTGATTGGCTATCCAAATGAAAGTTGTCTCCTTCAAATACTCATCATGAAAGAATATGCATTTATTTCAATGATGCTGCCACTGCTCAAGCCACTTTTGGAGTCCTTCTTTTGCAACTGCCTTCAGGGCCAAAGAAGAAATGCAAGATCATTGCTTGTCATACTTTATAAATGTTTCAAATAAAAACAAGGATAAGAATTCTGTTTTAAATATTCAAACTAGGATTTCTTCACAGATTAACTAATCTTTCTTGGGAGGCAGCCAAAGCTTGAAACTACCTGAAATTGCTGACCCCTAGGCTATTCAGGAAGTCTCAAGAAGATTCCTTGCGCAAGGGAAGGGGAAGGAGGGGGGCACTGATGTGAGAGAAGAGATTTGACCAAAAGCAGAGAATAGTGAGCAAGTATGGAGACAACTCAGCTTCAGTTCATCTCTAAACTTTGAAGTGAGAGGAACTAAATGTGAGAGTTTGGTCCTACTGCCTTTTCCACTGAATGATATCATGAGGAGCAATTCATGGCATTGCAGAAAGGGCCAAGAATTGGGATTCAGAGACTTGGATTTGAACTGCAGCTCTGTAATTCGTTACCTTTGTGATCTCTGGTAAATCACTTCATCATTCTAGACTTCTACAAAATGTGGCGGCTAGGTGAGATTTAAGGACCCCCATAGCTCTAAATCTGTAATTCTATGGTCCTGTGATGCCTTACTAAGATTCAGACTAGCAGATAGACAAATTAGCTGAGTTCCTTGTAGTGTCCTATATTACTCCGATCACTAGAGATTCTCCAGGATAGCAGAGACTTAGAGGTCTGGGCATTAGTAACGTGAGCATGACTTCAAATAAGTATGTACAAGTAGTTCCACTAGATGTGTCTAAGCAAGTAGGGCACTTCATAATACAAAAAGCCAAGAGGGGCGCACGGCATTTAAAGACAAAAGAGAATTTAGATTTAGGTAATCCAACCCCTTCTTTTTACAGCAAGCATGAGAGGTTAAATGATTTACCCAAGGATAAATAGATATGTAGGAACAAAGACATGATGCAAATCTAGTTCCTGATTCCAAAGCTGATGCTCTTTCTTCTGTATAGGACTCTCAGTGTGTCAAAGCTGATCTGCCCTTCCTCTGCCTTTTGGCTGAGGGTATGAGGGTTCGTGGGGTTCACACCAAACTGCTTCTTTTAAGATCAATCAATAAGCATTTGATAAGTGCTTACAATGTGTCAGGAACTATGCCAAACACAGGAGATACAAAGTAAAAGCAAAAATAACACTTGCCCCATGGAGTTTATATTTTAATGGAAGATAACACAGTATGTATATAAATAGGTACATACAAGATACATAGAAAGTGGATGAAAGGTAGTCTTCAAGGGGAAAACACCAGTGGATATGAGGGAGTAAGAGACTCCTGGCACTTGAGCTGAGTCATGAAGGCAGCCAAGGATTCTATGAGCCAGTGGTAAGGGGGACAATCCATGCATGGGGCAGCTCAGCATCTCCAGGGATCTGGGAAGCAACCCAAATCCTCTGTAAGCAGATATTTCAGAAATGAATCCAGGCTTAAAGTGAAGGCCACAAAGTGGCTACAAATTTCCCTAGGATTCCTCCAGGACTTTGTGATGTGGTGTAGAACACGGCTCTGAAAAGACAAATTCTGGTTTAAACCAGAAAATGATACTAGTCACAATCCTGATCCTATTTGACAGGAAAGAACCAGAGCTGGGTGTTCCTACATTCATCCTGACAGCTTTATGGATACTCCCAGCTAGGGTAATTGCTGAGAAAAACCCAAACTCTATCATTCTCAGAGAGTGGACCACTTTCCCTCATCTCCACCTCTCCCAGTAGTTACTGACATTTGTCTTTTGTTGTGTTATGCTGTATTGTGTTGCATTGTTGTTTACCTAGGAATGTGTAGACTTTGCATTTAACCAATCTGAAATCAGCTCTCAAGTTCTCCTTTCCGGTAAACCTAAAATTCCTTGGATTTGATGTTTCTTGAGTACTAGTTATGTGACCTTGACATAACAGCATTGAAAAAAGATTCATCAAAAAAGACAAAGATGGTTAATGAAAGAGACAAAGATGCTTAACTATTTATATTTGTTTTCATTCTTGGCACTGAACCCATAGACGAATCAATAATATATAATAAGAAAATAATACACAATAAAATATCTTCTGAGCAGTGATATGTCCACCATCCTCCTAGACCCTAGAAATTCCCAGACTACAGAGAAATGACTTTAAAGCCAGGAATTCTAGGAAATGCCCACTTCAATCTTCTGAATGAGCAAAGGAGTACAGACAATACAACACAATCCAAAACTCAGTGTCAAGGAGAGTGGAGCCAATGGCCAGCTCACATTGTCCTGGTACCTATCTCCCACCTTGAGTGTGACACTTTTATACTGCTACTGTTACATCACTTCCTCTCTGGTTCCCCAGTCATCAGCTGAACTTGGTTGCTCCCACCTCCCTCCCCCAACCCCTTAGTTAGGGAGAGGGGAGGGTTTGTCAAATACCATTATTATGTAAATATTATCTCTGTTGTTGCTACCACTTTAAACCTCAGAAACAAGCATGAGGAGGTAAGAGCTAAGATTAGGGGAGCAGCAGTGGTAATGGAAAGAAAGGAAAACATGCAAGGTTTACTATTTTAAACGTTTCTTGACTACAAGTATCGATGAAACCAGATTATCTTGGTGTCTACACTGCTCTCTGAATCTAAGGTGCTTTTAGAAATGTATCGATTCTTTAAGGAATCCTGATGACTTTTAGAACAGTTTTTTTTTTCACTCTCTCAATGAGCATTTAATTATGATAAAAGTTGATGGTAATGCAGATCTAGTGCCCTAAAAAATCATTTTCTACATAAAGCAAGGGTGAAATATAGGCTACCATGACATTTGGCCTACCTGGTAACTTTGGTGAGTCATTCTTGGATCTGGCCTGGAGAAACAGAGGGAAGAAAATAATAATTAACAACAACAACAACAACAACAACAACAACAACAACAACAACAATCCTATTTAGCATTTACTTAGCTCTTTAAAGTCTATGAATTTCTTTTGCAAATACATGCTCAAAACAATCCTGTGTTATAAGAATTTTTGCTTTTCTTTTATTCCTCCCACAACTTTTAGTTAACTTTAACCTCCCTTGACCAAAACCTATCATTACTTAGAATTTTAAATATTCCTTAGATACAAAGCCAAAGGAAGAATTTCAGCTGTCCCCAACTCCTTGGTGGCATATAAATCCCTTCTTCCTCTTTTGACCTATTTGTGAATTTGCTAAATGTAGTTTAATCTGTAACCTGACTTAGTTTACCTTTAGAGTTTGTTTGATGAGGTTTATTTCCTTGGAAGATGGATGAGATTATGACTCTGTGTAAATAAATTTGTTCAACTTGTATGATATTGAAGGAAGTATGGGATTAAAGATCTATCTTCTCTTTAACCTCTTATAGCCTAAGAGGAATGTGCAAGATTGCAATATGTAAGAAAAACATTTCTCTGTCACTCTGATGTAATTTTGCCTATAAGAGGCTTTGTCAGAATACTAATGATTGTTCAGGTTTTCTCTGAGGCCTGAACTTACCCTTGAGCCTAATAATAAAACATAGATTTTACTTCTATAATTTCTGCATATATTTTGGCAGCAATTACATATGACATGAACTCAGAGAAGAGATATTTTTCCTGGCAAAGTACATGCTATTATTTTTCCATTTTACAGATGAGAAAACTGAGGCAGACAACAGTTAAGTGATTTGCCCAGGGCATACAGCTGGTAAATATTTGAAGCTAAACACGCAAGTCTAGTGGTCTAGTCACTGAGTCACCTGGATGAACCAACATCCAAATAAAAAATATCAGTATTAGCAAGTTGGCCATCTCAAATAACTTTCTTATTTGCTTTTTCCTGACAGCAGCAAGAAAAATAATAGAGAAAAGATAGTGGTAGCCAGCCAGCAGGCTACCCACCAGAGGATGAGATATTATATGGGATTTTCATAGTTTCAAACAGTGTATATAAATAAATCAAGCACAAACTTACTGAGCCTATACTCTGTTCTCAGCACCATAAGGGACACAGAAGAACAGAAGATACAGTTCCTGACTTCAAGGAACTAATAATTCAGTTGAGCAGATCAGACCTTCACACATGAAACAATGCTGAATAATGCAAATAATGGCATAATTAAGTGGTAAATAACATAGGACAGATCATAAATCCAATGGACTTTTCTCACTTCTCATTCCTCTTGCATTTGACATGGGTTTACAACCTCTTTACAATGGAGACTCTTGGCATGTTGGTAAGACTACTCTATCACCATCCTTTACCTACTTATCTGTTGGACCCATTTTCCTCATTCTCCTTTGCAAGATCAACGTCTATGTCCTGCCCCCTATGCTCTAGTAGCTTCCTTTTGCCTCTAAATTAAACAATGAACTCCTTTCTTTGGAATTCAAAGTCCTTTTATACTGTGACTCCAAACTGTTGGAGCCTATTCTCCCTTCAAAGCCAGCAGGCTAAAGTGCTATCTCATTTAAGAAGCCTTTCCTGAAATTCTACCTGTCAGACTTATGGACAAGGGAAGAATTTATGACCAAACAAAAGATAAAGAGCATTACAGGATGTAAAATGGATAATTTTGATTACAATAAATTTAAAAGGTTTTGCACAAACAAAACAAATGCAACCAAAATTATAAGGAAAGCAAGAAATTGGGGGGAGGGCATATACAGCAAATTTCTCTGAAAAAGGCCTCATTTCTAAAAATCTCTAGAAAACTTAGTCGAATTTATAAGAATACAAGTCATTACCCAATTGATAAGAGGTCAAGGATATGAATAGGCAGTTTTCAGAAAAAGAAATCATAGCTATCTATAGCTATATGAAAAAATGCTCTAAATCATTATTGATTAGAAAAATGCAAATTAAACAATTCTGAGGTACTACTTCACACCTATCAGATTGGCTAATATGACAGAGAAGGAAATTGACCTTCATTGGAGGAGATGTGGAAAAATGGAGACACTAATGCATGTTGGTGGAGTTTTGAATTGGTCCAACCATTCTGGATAAAAATTTGCAACTATGCCCAAAGGGCTATAAAACTGTTCATACCCTTTGACCCAGCAATATCACTACTAGGTCTGTATCCCAAAGAGATCAAAGAAAAAAGGGAAGGACCTATATGTACAAAAACATTACAGCAGCTCTTTTTGTGGTGGCAAAAAATTGGAAATTGAGAGGATGACCATCAATTGGGGAATGGCTGAACAAGTTGTGATATATGATTGTGATGGAATACTATTGTGGTATAAGAAATGACGAGAACGGGCAGCTAGGTGGTACAGTGGAAAGAGCTCCAGCCCTGGACTCAGGAGGACCTGAGCTCAAATCCAGCTTCAGACACTTGACACTTACTAGCTGTGTGACCCTGGGCAAGTCACTTAACCATGATTGCCACTCGTGTGGGCGCGCGCGCACACACACACTCACACAAAGCAAAGAAATGATGAGAAGGCTACTTTCAGAAAAATCTGGGGAAACGTATATGAACTGATGCAGAGTGAAGTGAGAGAACATTATATATAGTAATAGCAATGTTTCATTATGTTTAATTGTTAATGACTTAGCTTTTTCAGGAGTATAATGATCCAAGATAATTCTAAAGGACTTATGATGAAAAATGTTATTCACTGACAGAGAAACAACTGATGGAGTCTGAATGCAGATTGAAGTATATTTTTTTTTACTTTATTTCTCTTGCTTTTTTTATAACATGGCTAATATGGAAATGTTTTGTATGATTCCACATGTATAATTGATATCACATTTTTTGACTTCTCAATGGGTGGGAGAGAATTTGGAATAAAAAAAAACTTAAATGAATGTTAAAAATAAATATTTTTTAAAAAAAAGGAGAGAGAAAGAAAAAGAAGCCTTTCCTGATTTCCCCCTTATTAATGCTTCCCCTCTCCCCAATCATTGTGTATTTATTTTATACATATCTTGCATTTGCTTATCTGTGGACATGTTATAACTTTAATGTAGACTTCTTCAGGGCAAGGACTATCTCAGAACCTAGACCAGAACCTAGCCCAGTGATTGGCATAAGGTAGGTATTTAATAAATGGCTTGTTGGTCAATTAATTGATTAGAGGTTCAGAAAACTACTGGCCTTAGTTTTTGGAATTGTTACTTTTTTAGAGAATCTAATTCACCAGGTACTTTTTATATCAAGAATGGAAATTTTGAAGTAGGCAACAGTTTAAACTTTTGAAAGGTACCTGTTACATTCCAGTTAAGTTATTCATAGTCCTTTATTTTTTTTCATAATCCGCTCTTTTCCATTTCTTGTTTGTGGAAAACTAGAAACCAGCCTGATTCTCAGAGGAGAAATAAATAACTGTGCCAATAGAACATTTCAATAGGCAGAAACAAACATGCTGTGTTCAATGCAAAATATGTCAAATCTGTCTCTTGAGATGTTAGTCTTTCATTCAGACTTGATTAACTTTGACCAAACCAGGGAGGAGGAAATGCTATATTATCTCCTCCTCCAACTGAGAGGCTTTTAAAGTCCACAGAAAACATTAAGTTTGTCCAGTATCAGATTCCAACCTCCACAAAAGCCCTCTTCCAATACTTCCATCTTGGTCTGGAGGTGATTCTTGCTTCTCAAATGCTATATCAAGAGAACACAAATTCTGACTGGTCCAATCATTCTGAAAAGACTTGGGAACATAGTACAAGTACCAAACTGTGTCAGCTGTCTTGGGACCAATGAAACTAAATAAAAAGTGGTTAATCACCACAAGGTTGGGCATTAAATTCTTCACACATAACATTGGTGATTCATAACACAGAGAAAAATACAAAATTTGCCTTAGTCATATAAAACCACATAACATTTCCATAAAGAAGTTATTGGAATACTGGAAAGGGACAAAAAGTACTAAAAGTCATACACACATCCAACTGCAAACTGTCTTTTCTGTCCTTTTCCCCTCATTAGGTGGCAGAGTTTTGCATTTAGTTGGTTCCCCATTGGGGTTTAGCAAATGAAGGGGTAAAATTCCTAAGAGAGATAGACTTAGTGAACCCCACTCCCCAGGTCCCTCCACTCCTTAGGACCAGTCTATGTCAGGAGTAATTATATCCTGCCTTTTGGACCAAGCCCTACCTGAGAGGTATCTAGCTTTAGCTATGAGCCTCCCTCACTAACCACCATACAGGCAGACTTTGGTAGAAATCTAGTCTAACCTCTCATTTCACACATCTATCAATTAACGAGCATTTAATAAGTACCTACTATGTGTCAGGCACTGTGCTAGATACTGTGTATGTAAACTGAATGAAACAATCTCTATTCAAACAGAGGCAGGATTTGAACTAAGTTAATCTGACTCCAAAGCTAATGTTCTTTCCATCCTATCACAATGCCTCTACTTTATGTATTATGTGAAGAAGCAGAAGTGTCAAGCAAGAAAGATGAGGAGAGGAGTTTCTCTTCAACATGCATGACCAGATACATTCAGAAGAATTCTGCTATGGAGGGCATGAAATTTTAAAGGGACCTAGAGATCATTTTATGAAGATCTCATTACTTTCTCCTCTCCATAAAATTTTTATAAGAATGTTCTATGTACTCATTAAATGTGAGAGAAGCTAGGTAGTACAGTGGATAGTGCTGAACCTGAAATCAGAAAGACCTGATTTTCTGAGTTCAAATTCAGTCTCAGATACTTCCTGGCTGTGTAACCCTGGGCAAGTTATGTAACCTCTGTCTGCCTCAGTTTTCAATTGTAAAATGGGGACAGTATAATGCCTACCTCCCAGGGTTGTTTTATGGATCAAATGGGATCATACACACACACACACACACACACACACACACACACACACCACACACTATTGTCCAGAAGACCAC